TCTCGTGGTATACAGGTTTCGATGTTCGCCTTTCATTCAATAGGTCCAGGGTTCGAAACCTGACAGCGATGGAACATTTTCTTTTCTAAACTTTTCTCATTTCACCTTCTTTTGTGCTCTCTAACCATGTTTTGTCGTCCGCTTTCGTCTCCTCTTTCGGCGGCCCTTCTTCTGCTACTCCTTGGTTCCTCATGACTGTTTTCTTTCAGCCACACCTCTGGTCTTAGGGTGGTAAGATCTAATACTTAGCCTTCTCAGATAAGGGCGGAAAAGCTCGGAGGTACCGTATACAAGTTGCGCCCGTTAAAAATCCGCTTGGTGGTCCAAAATGGATAAGGTTAGGTTTCGCCGCCACTTGGGCAAAATTCAAAATCGATCCCTACCAAACCGAAAATATGTCCCGCGGACTGATATGACCTATTATGTGACTCATCAAGGTGAAATCAGGTGCTCGTCAAAATAATGAAATCGAAGAAACAGGCATTTTTCCTACAGTTTGACCATTTTTGTCGAATTTTTGTTTTTTGGCTTAGCATCTTTTACGTCCAAATAAAAATATATTTCCTTGGGACTTTTTCTGAAAAACGTTGATTAACGGCACAAAATATGCACATTTTCAGTTTTCAAGAACTCTCAAGCTGTATAATATTACCTAACAAAGCTTAGGCGGCCATTTTCACGCAAGTTTTACCCCAGAACACAGGTTACCCCCACCCCCTTAATCGCAAACATCTCGATTTCTATTCAAGATAGATTAGTATTTTTTCACGGAAAGAAAGACATATAAACAAGCTTTAAGATTATACCAATAACCTCATATGCCCAAAAATTGACGAGCGTCTGATTCACCACGCCATGACACTTATGCAATTGCGAGCGCCGTAAAATACTCAACCAAAACAAAACATTAAACCTCAAACACCAGCAGCGTACGAATGCGTCTAAGTGACTGGCCTTTAACAGTGCCTCGTTAAATATACATGAAGTGGGTTGGAGCTCTACGTTTCGTCTTTGTGAATGGATTTTGTGTTTTGTTACCAGAAATTGTGTTTTCTTACCAGAAATTAGATAGAAAATGCGCACTTTCAATTTTAAGAAGGCTGATGACAAATTGTATTTATTTGAAGGCAAAAAGTATAAACGGCAAAGAAAACGGTGGGGTTTGTTGCAATAGTGATAATGATCTCAATAGGCATAACAGTCATCAGGTAACAGGTAACATTCAATGAAAATATATTTTGCTTTAAGTACAAATATAGCATTAATAAGTATTTAACAAATGATGCATAGGATACTTAGAACAGATCTTTGAGGCACACAGAAAAAAGAACTGTTTTCCTCATCACACAGATAAAAAGCCAGTAATATATCGTGCAATAGTGAAATTAACTCGACAAATACGTAAATATTCTAATTGGTAGTAAACAAAAGCAATCCCGCCCATCCCGCACAACAACAACAACAAAAAATCCAACAACCCAAAAAACAAAACAAAACAAAAACACAAACACACCAAAAACCAACAATCTCCCGCCCTTTATCTCAGTTAAGTTAATATTACAATGAACTGTGATAATTTTTAAATGATTGGTATTATTATGTACTGTGGGTTTTTGTTTCATCTCTTTTCGTACTACAGTGGAA